TTGTGAATTCCGACAACTCCTGCTCTGTTTGCCTTTGAGCTTGGCAGAGACACGAAGGCTGCGAGCTCTCTGCTGAGCTACTGGAGTACCCCGAATGAGGAGGTTGTGGAAGAGCGTGCTTGGCTGAGGAATTTGGTCGAACAGGCGGCGCGCCTATCTCAAGTTGCCAGAGGGCGAAACAGCCACGAAGCGGAGATCATCGGAGGGCATGGCAGGGGTTGAAGTTGAGCAGTGGGGAGACATAGGGCTTGGTGGCAGCGGCAGAGACGGTGATGATGGCAGATGAACGGTAACAAAGAAATCTGAGGGAGAAGATGAACAGTAACCGAGAGAAAAAAATCTCAAAAATTCAATAAATTCACTTGGTTTTGCGTAAATTTATCCACATTTTATTGCCGGCTGCCACATAAGATGGCCAGTAATAACTAGACCGCCGCGTAAATAATTTCAGGCAAAAATTGACCAAAATAGTTACATCATATATTTTCGCAAATGTTTAATACTATATTAGAACAATTAAAAAGTTCATGACTACATAAGAATCCAAACAATAGGTTTGTAACTAAATTAATAATTTTCTAGGATAATTGTCCAAAAAGTCCCAAATATATTATACGACAGCCAATTCAGTCATAAACCTTTCAATTGTGCCAATTCAGTCCTAAACCTTTTAGCGATTTGTCAATTTAGTCATAAACTTTTCAACAGTGTCAATTTAGTCACAAACATTTTTTTTAAGTTTGTCAATTTAGTCCTAAACCTATGATTTTGATAATTGGTGGAAATGATTACATTGACAAATTGTCAAAAAATTTAAGACTAAATTGGCAAATCGTTAAAAATTTTAGAACTAAATTGGTACAATTGAAAGATTTAGGACTGAATTGGCCACCGTACAATAGATTTAGGGCTTTTTTTACAATTTTCCCGTAATTTTCCCTATAAATCTAAGATTGATATTAGTTCTGTTGTGAAACAGATTCTATATATATTTGGTCGAATTTTTCAAAATATTTTGATTCGCTGAATCCAACTGCTTGAGTAAAATAATTAATAGTTAATATTAGAAATAATTTATTAATCAAATAAAACATATGATGTTGATTTGTTTTTGAATTAGGTAGATTTCGGTATTTAATGAAACTTTCTTATACTGTCACACCCCGAACCCCATCGAGCTCGCGACATCCCGCTCCGGTTGAAATAATGCGACGTCCCAGGAACGTCGCCGACCCAACCCAAACATCAGAGCCACATGCGGAAGCGAATAATAAAACCCCGGACAAATAATGACGACAACGGGGTAGAACAATGTAACAAACCAAGAACTACATATTCATACAACACCAAATATACAAACATCATATTCCGACATAAATACACACTAACATCCCGTCACCGTTTAAACAAAAGATCGAGGTCCGGTTAACTTAACTTCCCTATGAGTCAACCCGATTTACACAACCCCTAAAACCCTAGGGAAAACCTAAGGATCGCCTCGTCCCCCTCGAATTTCTGGGCTTGAAACTCGGAACTCACCTGCCTCCACCGGGCACCAACAGCAGCCTCCCGGACTTCCAAAAAGAAAAGGCGCACTTCCCGGGTTTAGGGCCGGGTTCAAAGTGGCGGTTATACAACCGTGAGACGAATCTCAATAAGTGTACAACCCCAAACCCCACGTAGGCACTCACGTACCGCCGCACGAAAACACACATAACACACAACGATCGGCCAAACTAACAATCACATGCGACCCTACCCGGAATCCATCACGCACGTTCCTCGCACGTTAGACAATAACACGCCCAACACATCACAAGCAAGGAATCACAGACGCGCGCGTGCCTCAATTATAAGATAGAAACCACTTGGGCACGTCCCATACCGTGCCTAGCAGTTTCTACCCCATAATTAAGCATCACATCACGCGATACAAACACACTCGCACGCTACTCACACCATGCGTCACTTTCCACAATCCTCTCGCTTGTCTTGCCAAATCCCACTCATTCTCAACCTTTCCACCACTACCGCGCCCGCGCAAAACGCATCGCCAACGGCCTTCGACCTCGTCAGCATCGTCACACCCGTCGGGCCGGGCATCGTCACCTCGTCAGGGACGGCATCGTCCCGCGTAAACGTACACGCCTCAGGACGGAAGCCTACACACACTTTCCTTCTACCGCGCCCGCGTAAAACGCATCGTGCCAACGGTCTTCGACCACGCGAGGCATCGACACCTCGTCAGGCCGGGCATCGTCACCTCGTCAGGGACGGCATCGTCCCACGTAAACGAACACGCCTCAGGACGGATCCTTTCCAACCAATCCCACATTTCCAAACCTTCGTTCCACACTCTCCACACGTACCACGCCACCACACAAAAACATACTGCCAAACATACACACTTCACACACATTCCATAATTTCGCATTCTCGTCACACGAACACGCACCATTTAACCACACGCTCTCGGCACGCGAATTCAATGCACATTCACATCACCATATCACCACACTTCACGGCTACATAAACACGGCACGCCACCACACCACATTCAGCCCAATGCACAAACCAAATCAGCCCACAACGATTTCCAAGCCAACCAACAAGCACAATCACACAACCACGCACAAATTTCCATTCAAGGCACAATCCCATTAATTAATCGCACAAATTAATTCCGATCAAACCCCAACATCACAGCCCTAATCCAAGCTCCCTAAACCTCAAAATTCTTCGCCTAATCAGTCCGCAACCACCAAATAATCAGTCACTCAAATCAGTCCCGAACAGCCCCTAAAACAGTCACAAATCGCCTAAACCGAGTCCTAAACGAGTCTAGAAATACCCGAGCTCCTAGGTAGTTTTTGGGGGAGACACTTACCCAAAAAAGGCGAGACAGAACGGGGCTAGAACGGGCCGGGACAGCGGCAGCAGCGTCGCCGGCGATATACGGACGGCGTGAACAGTACACCCCGTACGGACGCGGTGAACAGTACACTCCGTACGGACACTGTGCGGACAGGCTGGGACGGTAGCCGGCGAGGTGCCGGTGACAGCCGCGGCGTCCGACGGTCCTGCGTGAACAGTGATCCGTACGGACGGTGAACAGTACCCGTACGGACACTGTACGGACTGTGCTGGACGGCGACGTACGGCGAGGCTGGACGGCTGGGTGTCGACGGAACGGCGATCGGAGCTCCGGCGGTACTGTTTGCAGACCGGGAAAGAGAAAAACAGAGAAACAAGGCTGTTTTGGACAAAAACTGGGGCTGTGGTGGCTGCACAGAGGTGGAAATGGTTGCTGGTGATGTTGGCTTGGTGGGGGCAGCACCGGCTGGTACTGTTCCGGCATGAACAGTACCGGAAATGGCAGAAACGTAATCTGCAGAACAAGAAACGGAGAAGAAGAAGAACTTGCACGGGGAAAAATAACCAAATAGCTGAGAGGAGAGAGAGAGGGTCTGGTCAAATAGGTCAAAGATAGCTTAGTGGGATCCAAGTGTCACAATCTAGGCCCATTGGACAATTTTGCCCCTAATCCAAGGGCCCAAATTTGATCCAATCCAATAATTTAGGGGTAGAATGGTCATTTGCTCTTAACCATGGTTGACCAGACCTGGTTTGGCCTTAACTCACCTTGGTTAATCCCAAAATTAAATCCAATTTTCGGAATTAATCAAAAATGGCCTAGGGGCATTTTCGTAATTTTCCGATCCCGAACCGAAATTCCAATTTTCGCACATACGTGTTCCATATGTGCGTGGCCAACATAATATGGCGTCGGAATCGCGAAATTCATCGCGCAAGCCCTCGAAAATCCACGTCAAAGTCTCGGGAATAAAATAATATTATTTTTCCAATTTTTGTCGAAATTCCAATTTTTGGCCAAAACCACTCTGAATGTGCGTGGCCACCCCAAAATGACCTTGGCCGCGAAAAATAACCTCAAACGGCCTTCGAATCCAGCCTCGGTGCCCACAGGGGCAAAACCGTAATTTTTCCGGCCCCGGACCGAAATCCATTTTTTCGCAGAAATGGGTGGCCCCAAGGTTGGCCAAGCCAAAAACGTCATCGGCCATCCAAAATTGTCACTTTCAAAATTCTCGATTCCCGGGCCCGAATTCCAAGAAATGACTAAAATCGAGCAATAGCAACTTTATCTTATCTCTGGCTAACGGGTGGCTCTCTGGAATTACGCGCTCTCGACCCGTGACCGACACTAAGTCAAATCACGTTTAAGTTTACTCCACCCGGGACGACCTCGGTTGTCATATAATTGCGAGGGTCTGTCACTAGTGCCCTTTGGACACGATCAATCAAATAGATCGGTCTCGGTTGGCTCAAAACATTTCCTCGTCAATCGATATGGTCGAAGTCGAACCCAGGTCGAGTTCTTTGGTCGTGCGAACTCAATCCCGTAACGGCCCTACCCCTAAGGTTAGCATCCCGTGAATGCGCATTTCCGGGTGAGACCTCACTATAGTGCATTGGTCAAATTCATTTCTTAAATCCCGGGAAAAGGATCGAAAATTCAGACTGTTACATATACCTTATCTGAAGATACTTTTTTGTTATTCATTTTTGAAGATTTAATCTACTGAGGGGTAGACTTTTAAACACGTGTGGAATATTTTCTCTTTATTCATTTTTTAAAAAATTTTAAACTCAATAAGAGATGAAAATCTGATGTTAATCATTAGCTAGTGCTGATTGATCGATTTTAAGCCACATGGCAAACTATATCGTGCAGACGAGCAGTCACAGACGTAAAGTGAACTGCCACGTGACGAGTGCTAGAGGGAATATTCTCTCAGTTTCGGTCTCAATTTATTTGCTTTTGGTCAATCCTAACTCATTACTAAGAGAGACACTAAACTTGTTAAGAGGACAATCCTTGAGACATTATTAGTCCTGTAAATTTACGTTCACATACAAAGAAAAAACTGAGCATGAATGATCTAATATGCCAAAGAGACTCACTAATCACCGCTGAATAATAATGACAACATAATTGACACTTCCTATAAAGGGCAAATTACATTTTTTTTTGTTTTTGTTTCCTGAAGTAGAAGTCACTATCAACTTGAACAACTCTTGCTAACAAAATACAAATTCTTCAGCAGAACACCACTTACCTGTATGACTTAGCCATCATATGTACTTTCACTTTCACTTCAATGGGACATTATCTAACACTAATGTCCCTAAACCTATTAAGTTGGGTGCCAAAAAAAGACATTAAAAACTACCTCCGATTCGCCGATTTCGACTATGATACCGAGTACCTCCTGTTCCGGGAAGGCGTCGACTTCGCTTCGTCCACATTACCGTTGCCAGAGCCGAGACTCTCGGAGGAATCCGAGCCGCTGTTGTTTTCGCTCTGGCTTTTGCTTGAGAACATCTTCATGAACACTTTCTTCGACCGGAGCAGCCCCTTCATCTTGGTTATCGTGGCCTTGTCCACGCTGGGCTTTCCGTCCCCGTTCCTCTCGGACCCTCCTTGGGCCCCGATGCTCAGCCGCAGCGAGGCCAGCTCGGTTTTGAGGGCCTTGAGCTCTTCTGCCGTGGCCACGGTGTCCCAGTCTTCCTCTGTGTTGGTCGTGGCAGACCTCGAGCTTCCGTGGGACCCGTTGTTCAGCTCCCGAAGGCTTTTGGGGAGGTCTGGGGTGCTGCTCCCAGATGACGCAGCCACCCTGACCTGCTCGAAGAAGAGCACTTGCACGACGACTCGCAAAGGGAGCCTCTCATTTTGCACGGCGTGCATGCACGCGTCGACTGAGAGCTTCTTGCAGTCCATCAGTTTGCAAATCCTCTTCCTCTCACTCTTGGTGATCCCAGGATGCTCCTGCATTGATGTCAGTTCAACACAAATCATCAACATTAATGATCCCAAATCAGAATTCGCGTTTCTTTGGTAAGACGGATCAAAATCAGATCTTTTTGGAATAAACTTAACAGTTCGAAATGCTCCATGTGCTTCAGATATAAGTACATCCTAAAGTCCATGAGAAAAACGAGAACAGCATGAAACTGTTACCTTGAGATACATGTCGATGGCTCGGTAAAGTCCGTCATGGGAAGGCCGAGGAACACTTGACATCATCTCAGCGAGTTCAACAAACTTGGACAGAGGCAGGTTATGATCTTTCGATATTTCAGCGAGGTATGCATCAATTAGTTTTGCCACCATCAGCTTGGAAGCATCGGACAAGATCCCCAGCCTCCTCATGCCTCGCAGCTCATGTTCTTCTTCAACGGACTCGATCTCCTGGCTCTCCCGTGACAAGAATTCCTCAACTACAGCAATTACAGTGCCAGCATCGTACATCATACTTTCTCCTTCTGGTGCCCGTATCAGGAGATCGTTCACATTAGCCTCCTCTAATTGCTGTCCTATCTTCCTAATCAAGTCCCTTTTCGCCATCTCCCCTGAATCGACACAAATGGCCGCCTTTATCAACTTGAGCAAGAAACTACAGGAGACGCTGCATTTCTCTCCAGGTAACAACCGCACGACTGTGTCAACCACCAGCCGATACTTCGGTGTATCTATGCACTTGCTCATACCTTTGCTGAACCCAGGCAACCTTCTGTAAGCATAAGCTTTCAGTGCTTCACCGATGATTTCGCCAGGAAGTATCCCTTTCATTTTGATATTCATCAAAACACGCTTGTATAACTCGATCTCGAGCTCACAAAGATCCTCGACCCACCAGTCCTTTGGAACCACACGAGTTCGGACACCATTTGAGTCCATCCCATTTTCCTCTCCCAGCTTCTTCCGGTTGTAGGAGTAGGACCAATCAACCTTGGAGATGTCAACACAGGCCTTCCCAGCAATCGACTCAATACTTTGATTCACCAACTTCAATTCCTCAGAATGTGGTAATAAGGATTTTGTGGTCTGAAGAATGATGATCGAATCCTTCCAACTACGGAAAATGCTAGAGCTAAGAAAGACTTCAATCTTGTAAATAAGATTCCCCTTTTCAACTGTCTCGTACATTTCTAAGTACTCGGCGGCACACCTCGCAGCGACGACATTGTAGGCATTTAGGGTGACAGTCATGCCATAACAGAACTTGGCGCAGACCTCAAATGAGGCAGGACCACCGGGAATGTCCGAGATGTTGACTTCATTGCCGTCATCATTATTGGTAGCTGCGACCAGTTTCTGCAGAAGTGCGCTCTTTGACAGAAGAGGAAACTGCAACAAGCAGGTAAATTCGTTACTAAGATAGAAGTTCCAAGTCATTACAGGATACATTAACGACTAGACTACTCTATGTGATCAAAGTTGAAGTTTATGCAAGGGCAAGTTTATGCACTGATTGGTTCATCAGAAGAATTCATAGTTCAATTACAATTGCTGAATCTGCCAATTTTCAACTAAGGAAACAAATTATAGGGTCCGGCTTGCCATGGAAATTGGTTTTTGATGGAAGAAATTTAATCTATACCATTGTCCACGGGAATCTGAGGAGTCCAACGCAGTAGTCAAGCTAGATAGGAAACCTATTATAGCGCTAAGAAGTTATAACTAGTGTTTGCTTTGCACAGAATCACGTATGGCAACCTCATTTCAAATAAAGTAGCAAGAGAAGTAGGCCAAAACTTTGCTTCTTACTTCATCATGACATGGCTAGACATTAACGTGACGGCAACAGAACCTTAAAAGGTAATTTCAGCACTTTGATTATGCGAGGCAAAATAAGCCGAGAAAGTCGCAAAGTCATTGCTTTTTTTGTTGTAGTTGTATGAAAAGGGTACCGAGTTGACCATACCTTATGCAAGTAGAACTTTACACTCCCAACACTGACAGTGATATCAGTTGCCAACTCACTTGAAACGTACCTGCGCGTTGTCATGCCCCCTTATAGCGTTATTCAAAAGAGCAAATAAACCGATACGACCATGCAGACATGATTTCCAGAATGAACGTTCACAACATAATGCGTGAAAGTCGAGCACTTCAAGGCATGGCTGATAAAAAAAAAAACTCCACATGAAGTTGCAAAGGCATGCATTGGTCTATCAAGAATCTCCCCCACTTACAAAACACAGAACAATTTCAATTTACTCGCCAATTGAACTGCTTGAGATGGAGAAAACCCATAAAACATACACAGAAGTCAAGTCTTTCGAAGAGAAAATTTGTGCAAATGTTGAATACTGTAGACTGCTGTCGATGACAGTTCACTTGCAACAACAATTATCACTGAAGTGAAATCAGTCCTATGACTGACTGGAAGCTGATTGCAGATTAAGAAATCGCAAGTTGCAACATGCCAAAATGCATATTTTGAGCTTCAACACTTTCCTGTCGAGGTTAAAACAAGTCTGGTTATTCTATCCTTGTGAATCGATTTCTTTTTCCTTTTAGTTGAGAACCTAGTCTGTTGAACTGTAAACCACTGCGCATCAGCATTAAGATGGCTTGGCATTGAACACCATATGCCTATCATAAATGATTAGTTAATGTAGCAAACACATTGGCAAAGTTCCTAGTTTTCAGTGCCTCTTGCTTGTGCCCGACCATCTCCTGCTGCCACGCCAACTAATGCACTTTAATACAGCTTCTATTTTCCATCTATTTAGCCGAAAAAAGAAAATGCATCTATTCAAGTTCCTAAACACTTTGTAAGAACTAAAAGAGAAACCAAATATAGCACAAGGCCAACGATACAATTCAAATCAACATTTACATTTAAACAGAGCAAAAACATTGATAGGATATTAAAACGGGTGAAAGAAAATTTTCTCCTAACACTTATGTGGAGCTTTGTCTCGGTATGTCCCCACCGAATCCCCCAGGTTAGCCGTAAAAGGGTAAAATCAAGCGATGGAGTCCAGTAATACTTAAATCTGACACAGGTTGGGAAGGATGAAGAGAGATGATGACAGAGCATATGCATTGCTACTGAAGGAGCAAATTTTTCATCAAAAAGCCGTTCCTACTTGTAAAATCGTGTCTTTTAGAAGCCATGGAACCTCGAAAAAGGGACCCAACTAGGTAAATCTGTACGTTAGTAAGAGACCACGTTGGTCATAATCTCAAATTTTCTTCCACCCAAAGAGCCGACTTTGAGCACCAAAAATTTTTTTAAGAAGTGGACGGAAGTGTCTGAGAAGCACAAGGCAATGTGAATTAGAAACCAATGAAGGACCACTTTCTCATTGCCAACCAGCCAACCCAAATCAATCTAAAACCGCAGGAGAATGGAGAGCATCCCGAAACTTTCACCTTAAACTCTAATCAAAAGAGAAATGCAGAAAACGCAAGAGCTCCGAAGATGTTACCTGACATTGTCTCCTTCGTTCTGGAACGAATCGGGCTTCGACCCAAGTTTCATAAACTTCATCTTGAGAAACAAGGATCACCCCCAAAAATGAACCCCCCTCACCACTCGACTGATCGCTGATAGATCAAATAAACTCAAAGGACAACACCACCCAGGAAAACACTGTCCAACAAGCTCACATGATTCCTAACCCGAGGCGAAATTTTTTGCCGGAAGCGGAAAGGCGGATACTCCAAGCATGGGGGACCAGAAGCTCTCGAATGTGGCCGATTTCTGGGCTCCAAGAGAGGAATAGATCTCAGAAGCTAAGGGGGGGATAATATTATGCTCAAATGCTATGACCGAATCTTGACACCAACCAAGAGCTCAGAGTCTGAGTAAGAAAGAGAAAGAGTGAGGAAGAGAGAGAGAGAGAGAGAGAGAGAGTGGCAATATTTTAAAAGAGAAGGTTCTCTTGAATGGGAAGAGACCGAGAGCAGAGGAAAGAGTGTGTTTCCTTGGTTGAAGGCAAAGCCCACAGAGTAAGGGCGCACCTTGTGAGCCAAGGAGACATAGCCATCACCCTGACCTCCCCCACTAACACTTAAAATAATTCTCAAACCAGAGAGTCACTCACACTCACGCACCCACCATTTAGCAGATTCTGACGCAAAGCACCATCTCTACAACTATTTCCTTTAAAAAACTTCTCCCTCCGATCACTCTGTTTCTTTGAATCACTCTCAGTCTCAGCAACCAAAAAAAGAGGAGATGAAAAAAGAGACGGGTGCTCAAGATTCATGCCTGTGTGACCTCAATTCCCACTAATATCACCCATTCTTCGACCGTTGGAGTTTTGAAGAACCTGCAACTGAAAACAGCATCCCGGTATTAGTTGCGAGGAACCACCAAAACGCCAGACAATAAGCATCTATCTTTAAGTTTTTTCCCCCTCTTTCTTTGCAGGAATAAATCAGAGAGAGAGAGACAGAGACAGAGACAGAGAGAGAGAGAGAGAGAGAGAACAGAATATGGTCGGTCAATTAGTATAGTAATGAACGATCAAACAGGGACTCAACAACAAAATCAATTCAACAGTGAACTGAAATCTGCATAAAAAAACAGGAAGAAAGAAAAATAAAAGAAAAGAAAAGAGAGAAGTACCCCCCATGAGAGCATATCTCGGGAATCAAGTAAAATAATGATCCAAAGAGATCCTATTATTCTGTAAAGTGCAAAACTTCACTAGCCCCACTTGAAAAAAAGAAAATGGCAAACAACAACAACAGAGAAAGGCGACAATTTCATTTTCAAGATTTGGTTTGTGGGCAGAAAGACAGAACCCAAAACCCACTCTCCGTGTGAAACCTATCGAAACCAAAGAACCCCCCATTTTCTTTTGCTAAAACCTGCAATTGGACGAGGGTGCGACAGGAAATCACATGTATTGCTTCAAGCTCAACCAAAGAGCAACAGAGACATGTCAACGAAGTTGAGGCTTTTTCTCTCGGATGGCATAATGATGCTGATGAACGATGTGAAAGGTGATCTTTATAATGTATGAGTACTTAAAGCCCAGAGGACGAGGCTCATTTAAATTTTCGCACCGGCATTAAATTTTCTTTCAGAACCGTGGAAAAGGAAGAAAGAAAGAAAGATAGAGAAGGGAAGATCCTAACACAAAATCCCAAAGGGAATAATGACAACGAGGAAGTACCCAACAGGGAATGAGCTGTTCCCCAGTTTTATAGAATCCAATCACAAACACTCAAAAGAAGAAAGAAAGCAGGTACCCAAGTTTGAGGAAGAACAAAAGGCTCCCAAACAAGTGAGACTTTTCGTGCTTGAATTGATGAACCCAAGTTTGATGTGAGCTCACATAAACCCGTCAATACTCTCTACAGTCTAGCCCACTAAAATTTTCTCCTTTTTCTTTCTCCTTTTCCCTTGTTTTTTAAAATTTTTCGCTTTTCCATTTGCTTGGTCAGTCACTTTCATCAGCTTAAGAAAGTCTGATGGTGTTCATTCAATTTTGGGAGAGAGAGAGAGAGAGAGAGAGAGAGATAGAGGCTTTTCAGGGAGAGGCATTTGATTCTCCACAGAACATTGCTCAGTTAGGCACGCCAAACCTGTCAAGCAGAGAGCTCTTTCCTATTCATCTTCCTCAACACACTCGCTCCCCCCTCACTGCTTTATTATTATTATTGTTATTTATCAACGGCCACTTTATTGCTCCTCCTCCTCTTCCCTACGCTTGGTACTCAAGCCTCTAGTTCTGCTAGAGGGAGTACTGCTGTCTTCGCGCCCATAATAATGATGGGCATCACAGAGCTCTGGGACTCTAGAGTAATGATCATTGAAGTTGAAAGCGAAATTCGTCATTCACAAATATAAAAGGAGGACGACTTTATCCCCCTTTGGAGACTCTTTTTGGAAAAATAATATAAACGAAGAAATAAGAAGGGAGAGATAGAGAGAGACTCCTTGTTTCCTTCTTTACAACATGCATTCTTATCATAAAAAATACAAAGTCTCTATTTTTAAAGACGCAATCTAGTTATAGTGAGGCGGATTAAGCAGAAGTTAAGATTGCAGCATGCCAATGTCACTAAAAAAGAAGAGAGAGGTTGCACATTAATCAACAGTTTTTACCCGAAACAATTACTCAATAGTCACTAATGATGGTAGAGGAGCTAAAAAAGACTTGCTATTATAACACGTTTAGTAGATAACTCAAGTTCCAAGTTTCAATTGCGAATCAAAGAGAACCGCGCATCTGTGCATTTGTTACATCATTTTGAAAGAAGCTCAGCGAAAATGTTAGCGTTATTGAATCATGCAAGACATTTTCACTGTGGAGGGTGTCTCTTAAAGAAACTCGAACATGCTTTTACGACATGAGTTGAAATAAGAGTAGTGTCGCAACAAATCAACAGCAAGCATGGTGGGTGCTTTGTTTTGGACTTTCTCGACTAAAAGACATTAGCCCTAACTTTATCATCAACTTAGCCCACAAAAGCTTTTGCATAATTGTTCATAAGCAGGCTCAAATTAAGAGCTAGGGCTCCTAGCCATAGGGACCACAAGACCCTCCATTGTTTGTTTGCTTAATTAGGTCCGAAATCACTATAAACTTTTTTCTCACCCTTCAATTTTTTTTTCTAGTTACGAGCCAAAAAATAAATAAAATAAAAACAGTTACCTCATTTTGCAAATGCCAAATTGAAAGTTGAGAATTCTTTTGAAGTTGTGATTGGCGTGGTACTTATATCTAATATAGTCCTTAAATCATACTTGATTAAAATTCACACGGTATGTCGAAAAGATCATTTATATGTATATTGTTATGTTTTAAGAAAATAAATTTTTTTGTTGGTTAAACTCTCTTGCATCCTTATATATGCAACTTCTACAAGTTTGCTTTGAGAACATATGAAACTTATATTTGCATTTACAAGAAAGCGTAAAAGTTATTTTTTTTCATTTTTAACAAGCTAATATATTCACAGAAAGGATAAGGGCTCCTTTGTTAAAACTGGAAAATAAGAGCTGATAATTTAAGTGCTGAATTTTTTAGTGGTGACAGTCTTTAAGTATTATAACTAGAAACAAAAAAAGATTGTATGATCATAACTGAAAATGGATCTGTCGGATGATACTAAAGCTCTGTTTATTTCACGAAAAATGAATAATTTGAAAAACGTTTTCCAAAAAACGATCGTCTATATCTCTTATAAAAATGAATAAACAAAAAATATTTTCATCGTACACGAAAATATTTAAACATAAACTGTTGTATTTCTATTGACTAATTATTTCAAGCTATACAAGCGATCGTTTTTAGGGAAAATATTTTTCAAATTATTCATTCTTCCGTGGAACAAACGGAGCCTACTATCTTCTCGAACATGGGATCGCAATTATCATGGGTAGGTTTTGACGATAGAATAATTAACAAGAAATGATAATTAATTGGGATTATCGATTTGGCCCCCAACGATCATCCTAATTCTTTACCATATATATGTAAGAACCCCAAATACCCAGGTCATGGGAATGAAAAGAAGGGGAATATGTAATATCATGATAACCACTGAATTTTATTTTGGAAGATAGGGATGAGACAGCGACGGGACTTGTGCATGACTTCCATGCATGCACACACTTTTTGCAAAATTATATTATAAAATGAGATGTGCCCACCCCACAGTGGAATGCCCAAAAGAAACGTAAGTAGTGACATCTTGTGTGCTTTGCTATTCGCAAAAAAACCCAACATCATCCATGCCCTAAAAAACTATAAAAAAAAGGGCATGTGATTTGGTATCATTAGGGCAACACAAGTTGGAACTAATGACGGTTGATTTATTAATAAAGAGATGTAGATATCTATGTTTCTTGATTTGCCTTTTCATTTCGATCTCGATTCGTCTGTTCATAACCTGGAATGTTGAAGTGATGCCCTCTTCGTATTGCGATGAGATATTATCTAGGCACCAAGGAGGCAACATGATGTACAAAAGTGATGTGTGTGTTGAGACCCGTGTTGAGCTTATCGCTTGATGGAGACTTCCATCGGACCATGAATGGATTGCGATCCTAATTAGGGCAGACAAGATTTTGTAATCTTATTAAGTTTTTATGGTTGCTAATTATATGCGCACGACTCCTATTTTGGATGCCACTAGTATCTGTTATAAGCATTTAGGTCACGGGTGCTTCATTGTCTCTCCATTTTCTCGATAGTTAGAATTGTATCTTCTCTCTGTGTGAACACAGGTATGTCGGGTCGAATCACGTATATTCACAACCTATTTTCATGTCATTGACATGGGATGGGAAGCGTCATGATTCAGTAACATCTTTTCCCCCTTTCCAGTCAATGATTCGAAGGATTGATGGGGAAAGAAGAATATAACTCTACAAATGGAGATGTCGATGTCCACTTTTGCACGGGTTTGGATCATTCATCATGCCGACGATGTGGTCAACTATTGGCCACCATGAAATCGCTATTAGATGGAAACAAAGCACATATGGACACACACCTCACGCTTATACCATCATTTTCATGCACACCATGCAGCCTCCTTTTTGAGTATTGAACGTTCCTTTGGCATTATCGAAAAATTTCGACAATAAATTTTCGGTATTAATTGAGATAATGTCCACTCAGAACTTCATGTAGTAGCTACAGCCATACATATTGTACCATAATATGAATATAATGGTACTTGCCAAATTTTGTTTTTCAAAGTTCTCACAACATTTAAGTTTCAAAAAACACATTTATCTAAGTTCTTAAAATTTAAAAATAGTTAGCAGTAATTTTATAAAATTTCAGGGAAATGGTCTAATCTCTCCTAAACATTTTGCAGAGATGTAAGATTGGGTAATTTTCTCGAAAATTGTACATGATATTATAGTAAGAGATCTCGAATTTCCATATCCCTTTTCTTAAAAAAATTTCTAGGCCGCTTTTTTTATGTATGAAATCGAGTGGTGGATTTATTCGAAGTTACTCTTCCATAAGAAAATGAAAATGCAAAAAAAGATTAAATAAATAAAAATGGGTTATCGACAATATTCAATATTCTGATTTTTGTTGTCGCGCAAAGAGAGAATCAAATCTCATTCTCTCTTTGCCCTCAATGACTTGCATGTTATCTTATAACTCTCTCACATGGTGCTGACTCTGCACGCATATGCTTTGACAATATCTTTTAATATTGTATAAATAATATTATTATTTTTTTGGGTCAAAATATGTATAAATAATAATAATATTTGCATATGGTTTCTTGTGAAACACTTGATTCCTCCATCTTCGATCTCGGTCAAACCGGTATAGCTCACGTCAGATGACTCAATGCAAAGTCATCGCGCAGAGAAACTTCTGACCATGGAATTTGTCGTCAACGGCTTATAGGAGAACTGGGGTTTTCACCATTAATAAACGATTAACGCAAGAGATATACACGTTAGAATATGTAAATATTAAATGGCCCAATTTCAAAAAAAAACCTCAACTTTACATTTTATCCCAAATATACCCTTAACTTTTTTTGTCTCAGAAAAACCACAAACTTTTATCTAAGCCTCCCAATCTGCCTCCGTTAAAAATCCGTCCAATTAACGTCAAAAAAAAAAAAAAAAAAATGAGCAGGCGGCAGTGCTGGCTGAAGCCAGCAAAGCCGCCGTTTGAAGCCGAGCGGGAAGAGGCGGCCGGCCTGGGCCTTCCCGAAGGCCGGCGACCTCGCCGGCCCGGGCGAGCCCGGCGATGCGCGCGCCCCGATCTGACGGGGAGGTCGCGCCTCCTACAGATCGGCGCGCTACCACAAGCCGGCCCGGCTCGCCGGGGGCGACGGGGTTGCGCCCGGCCTTCTGGGGACGGCTCCGGCAGGCCAGGCGAGGGTCGCCGCCCTGGGGCCGACAGCCGTCGGCATGTCTCGACTGAGGCGAAGGGTCGCCGCCTCCCCCGATCGGGGCGCCTGCAGCTGGAGCTCGCCGGGCCGACGGGGTTGCGCGACCTTCGAGGAAAGCCCAGGGCGAGGGCGGCGACCCTCGCCCGGCCCGGGAGCCTAAAGCCGCCGGCGGCGCATGCGCCCGATCCAGGGCGAGGTCGCGCCTCCCTAGATCGAGGGGTGCGCGCCCTCGCGAAACGGCTGACTAGCCGGGGCGGCGACTTTCGCCGCCTCGGCTGG